TGAACTTAGCCTGCCTACTGGTAAAATAAACATGTGTGCAAAATGTTAGCCTTCTATCTTAATTCTTCGAAAAATAGCGTGATTAAAACAAACTTTGTTTGGTCTGACACGAGGGAGTTGCAACGGAATGACAAAGTTAATATACCCTCCATAGTATGGTATGGGAGGGTATAAAAATAAAAGTAACTTTTTCTTCTAATATTTTCGTAATACATGCAGAACCCTATTTAGGTGTCTATCCAATACTACAAAAAATCAGTTTTTCGTTGTCATTTTTTTCTTCCGTTTGCTTTGATTTGACATCTCTTTCATTTTCCATTCGCTTGACACTGATGGAAAAGTAAATGGCAAAAAAGAACACCAACAAAAAAGACAAGGGTTACAACATCGTATGTGTCCCATCTTTCACATAAAATAACCATTAATTAAACCATCATCAATATCATCCGTAAACGACAGAAAAAAAGAGCCGTGGCAACACCAGAGGCACCAATACCATTATCGCCATCATCATTCCGGCTAGTTAGTGCAGCAGGCCATCATCATCATTTTTTATCGCACGTTGACACCATAACAACTAAATTAACTTTTTTCTCCCTCTCTCTCTCTTTCCAATATTGATGGTTTTTGTTGTTCTTGCTCGAACTAACAAAAACAACAACAAAAAGTAAAGGCTTAAACTATTTTCATCCATTCATCCATATAAACAAAAAACCGAACAACAAAGAAGGCCTCTGGACCAAACCTATAATTTTCTATTGCCTTACATTATTAGACATTAGCCGGCAGTTGTTGTGGTAGCGCGCACAAATCAAATCAGGCAAAAAAAAAAAAACAAACAAGCGACACTAGCTCCGATGATGATGATGCAGATCATATCAATCATTCTTAAATCTTTAGCAGCGCCATAGAAAAGTCAAACCAAACGACTACTGTTTTTGCAATTGATGACAAAACAATATGTGTGGCGGTGCGACACATGTCAGGCATCGAGTTAGAGAGGAGAGTGCGCACCTCCAGCCAAAAAAGGGGTTTATTTTCATGCACTTGGTGGACTAATGCAATTTGGGAATCACAAAATTAAGATCAAATGTGGTGGACATCATTATCGAGACACTAATGCCAAGAGCATCATCAATTGTTGACTTTTTAAGCGTTTCTTTAGATGGATGTTGGAAAATTCATTTTTCATTTATTGGGAGTAGAAGGAAGTGACAGAAAGACAGACAGATATGTCAATCAGGACGACCTTAAAAAAAGGGGTGACAATTAATTGATTTTTTTTTTTGCAAAATGAAGGGCCAACATGGAAATATTTTGCAAGACCCGTAGCAATTTAAAAAAATGCTACCACATTTGCTATCAGTCTTTTTGGTAATTATGGTTTAATTAGCTCACGCAGGTTTTGTATTTTTTTTTTCACTACCAAACATTATCAGCCTTTTATATAATTTAACCAGGAGATCAAACCTGTATAATCAAAATGCGAGCTCTTTTAAGAAACTTCATCGCACGCCTCTTATGTTCAGCAACGTAGCTGATATTAGGTATCATAAGCTCAATTGATACTTAAATAAGTAGAGTTATTGATTTTGAAGGAAAGATCGACAGGAAGCATTGCAAAAGTTACCAATGTATATAGAATAAGTAAAAAATCAGCTAAGTTCGAACTTTTTATACCCTCCACCAATTGGAAGAAAATTTAAAAAGTTTTAAAATATACGTCGAAAAATATCACTCAAATGGAAACCGTTACATGTGGGCTATACGAAGACGTGGACCTGCATCGAAAATTTTCCGTCATAGGTTGAAGTACCCATAACGAACTTCAAATACGAAATTTGATACAATTTCAGTGAATACTGTTGCTAAAATTATCAAAATACCAAATATCGGGGTACCGTTGTATGGGGGTATGCGATATCGTGGACCTATATAGACAACTCTATTCCAGGGAGTAAAGTACATAGAAGGAAGTCCTTGTGTGTATTTTAAGACAATTCCATTATAAAATTTGGCTACGATCTTTAAAATAACGAATATTGGAAGGTACTATTTCATGGGGGCCATACATTATATGGTTCGATATAGTCCATCTTCGCAAGAGCTTGACCTGCTCACATGTGGCTTTTTAAGACGTTGACAAACAACATATGTAATGACGATTTTGTTGAGGTGCGAGTTCGATGAACGTTTCACTTCAAGTTCGGGACCCGCCAATTGGGCGCCAGATCGTGCGATTTAATATCTTTAGACTATTTTTGTGCAGCTATTTTAAAACTGATGTCTCTACAGGCAATTGATGCATTTTAGAACAACATTGACGAATTTACTCGTGAGATATCGACTGAAATGTAGGAAAGACTATGTCAAAATTTAACTAAGCCGATGGACCATTTGAGACGTACTTGCGGTCAAAGTTTGCATGAAACAATATTGAAACATTGAACTACTATCAATTCAAATAAAGAGGAATTAATGGTGACCAAAAAAATATGTGGGCTTTCGAAAGGATGGGAATCTAATTATGGGGTTATTTCAAATCAAGTGATTTTAAAAAGCAAAGTGCGTATTTTAGGAACTTTAAAAATTTTATAAAAAGTTGATTTCCACAACATTATCTTTTTTTAAAAAATTTTCAGAGACAGATATCCTTTTGCCCTTCACCTGATGACATTTTCAGAAAATGCATATTTCCATTTCTGCGTGGGAATTTAACACAGGTGATTCAATGTTTCACTTTCGAAATTAGATGGCGCAAATGTTAACCACCCATTTTTTAAACATAGTCCTTGCCTTATCCTTTGAGCAAGGTTTAGCTCTTCTTGTGAACTTGTAACCCTCCTCTGAGGTGGTGGGTAAGTTGCTGGCCCTCTTAACACATAATTAGAATGAATGCAAAGCCAACAAAGAAAGACGAGGCAGAAGAAAAACAATCCCATACCCCAAGCACTACCACCCTTCCTCTAAGTCAGACTGCCAGTCACCCCGGACACCATATGACACAAGGCCAAAATGCAATTGACTTTTTAATTTTAAATACAAAAGTCCGCTCAAGTCAATGTCAGAGTTTGAGCCACCTGTGTGCCCTGCTTGAGTCAAAACCGCAAGAAAAAGTCACGAAAATCTTCTCGTCCTTTGTGTAACATCCCTTAGGTTGGCCGGAACACCACCTGTCTTGGCATACGTTTGGTGGTCACTCGGCTTAATGGACAATTTGATTTAATTTCTGTTGGCCGGTATTTGCTGTTGCCCGCGCCGTTATCATGTCAAATGTGGCTTTCAATCAGTTGCGTATCTCAGCGGTTGCTGCTTCTTTTTGACCAAGTCCCAGGTCCTAGGAGAATTTGAATGCAACAACAAAAACAAAAGGCCTTGTGGCCCACAACTCAGGTGCTGTGTGGATGTGGATGTCAGCCTTTTGCTGTACTCTACTTTTGGGTATGATTTGTTGTATTTTTAGGGGTGTCCTGGGCAAATATTATTAATGTCCACGACCATTCTTAGGCTGTGTGTGCATACAGGTGAGGGTGTTTACCCTTATTTGAGGTGCTGCTCTACCACTACCATGTGACAGTGTGTGAGTGTGTTCGTCTGATGTTTGGTATGCATACAAAAGCCAATTATCTATTCATTTTCATATGTTTACGTGTTTAACGAAAACTAAGCGAAATAACTAAAAAAAAACCCTGGGTGGGTAGTTATGGGTTAGGGAAAATCGTGAAAAGTCCTTGTTTTTTAGTTGAGCTGTGGCAAAATGAATGAGTGGGCTACTGTGATAAACTGGCTAGGTGTATGAGTGTATATGCGGTCAAGTGGAACCGAGCGACCAGCAGAACATCAGACAAGAGCTTCGTACAAAGGACACTTGACGCTTTACAGGACTCCATGGTCAAACACTTGTTCAACGGAAACGGAAGAGTCAAGTTGTGTGTGCGCTCAGTGAAGATTAATCAGAAGCAAAATAAAACGACGATCCTTTGAAGAAGACCAAGAGGTCTAAAGGAAGAGTTTAAAGAAGATCTTCAAAGTAAAAAAAAATAAATAAAATTTGTGAAAAGAAAAGTTTTAAACTATTTGAATAAAGTGAGTTGATATAAAAAAATAAATTAAAAAAAACATGAATGAAGATCCAGGGTTCAGAAATAAAAAGTTATTAAAAGGAACAATTTATATAGAGGACTTAAATGTGGCAAATGCATTTTAGTTTGATTCAGTGGGTCTATTATTTGAATAAGTTCTGAGTCAGCACACTCGCGTTATTGCCTGATATAATCCGAGCAATTTTTCGGACTATTTTTTTTCTTTTTTTTTTTTTTGAATTTTTTTAAAATACATTTAAGGCTCCCAAATCTATAATACCGAATTCTATTCCCTTGTCAATTTTTATAGAGAGAAATGGGAAGCCGCTGGGCAATTTCTCAAAATGCTTCAAATTTATTTAAAATAATTAAACTTAAAATAGATAAGGTGTTGATTTTTTCATATTTTGTGATTTATTTTTTTTTGTACTTCCAGAATATATTTTTCTCAAAACAAGTTATGAAAAAAAGGTTTTGTTTTGAAAAAAATATATTCCTGAGGTAAAAAAAAAATAATAACTCACGGAATATTAAGAAAAAATTCACCTCCAAATCGTTATTAAATTGAGTTACTTTAGATAATTATTAAGCGTTTTGAAGGATTGCCTCATTTTTAAAAAAAATTGAGAATATAATAAAATTAATTATTATAGTTCTGGAAGTCTGAAAAATTATTTAAAAAAATTAAAGGAGATAATAAAATTCATTATTATAGTTCTGGGAGTCTAAAAAATTATTTAGAAAATTTCAAAATAGAACTATCCTTTGCTTAACTGCGCCTTACGAATTTTAGGAAAAATTAAAAAAAATACCATAATAATATTTACAGTTACAATTCTTAGATAAATTTTGATTGCAGATCTATTGGAGTTTAAAAATTAATTTCTAAATAATTTGATGTCTATTTTCTTTTTTCAGTTTCATTCTATGGTTCAAATTTAAATCACGACGACGATTATCGAGACAACAAAGACAAATCATCGGAACATCTAGATCCTGCATTAAGTGATGATGAGAATGGTTTTGATATACGCTGTGAAGTTTGTGATAAAACCTTTGGAGATATAGATCGGTAAGTAGTCGAAAACCCCCTCTCTTACAATCTGACATTTACAATTCTTAACACACTCTTGTATCGCTCACACGTGCAGACTCATACAACAAAATATATAGATCCCAATGGGAATAATTAGGCGGTGATAATTACAAGGCTGAAATAAATCAAAAACGAAATGATTTACCGATTATAATTTGTCATTTACTCATCAGCACACCTCTTGCTGTTTTTGGGAGGGGGGAAGGAAAAACTTTTGGTTTTTCTTTTATTACAGCAACAAAAACTAATGTTTAACAAGTGTTGTTGAACACCTCTTTCTGGGAAAACCGAAAAAAACAATAAATAATTAGGCCTAATTTGTGTAATACCGAGAGACAAGGAGGAGTTGCTCGTTATGCAGACAGAAGGGTTAAAGGGTTATTGGGTCTGTTATTATCAAGTGAATGATTATCCTCAATACCAAAATAAAAATACAATCAGTGCCAACACCCAATGTCTATAAATTATATATTCAATTAATGAGTTGGCGTATAAACGTACCTCTTTTTTTTGGAAATTTATTCCATTTGAAGTGAAAAGGAAGGTGTTGCAGTGAAAGCCCTTTGAGGTTAAGTTGAACTAGAAATAAATAAAAATGAAAGAAAATGAAAGTTAAATTAATGGGTTAAAATATGTATCACTTAATTTTAAATCTTAATTAGGGTAGAAATTATTTTTTAAATTAATTGAAAATTGGTGAATTTTAATTTTCAAAAAGTATCTTCAAATCCATTATTTTTTTAACAAATTGCAAAAGCTTAAAAAGTTAGGTTTCTCTTTAGATATTAGGCACATAATTGAAATCAAGGGAGTTAGATAGGAATTTGGACAAAAGTTTGATGTCAAATAAATTTTGTTCAAAAATAGAATTACTCTCCCCTTCTTGTTCTCTCTTTCAAAACTAGGAGCAAATACGTCTGAGGATAATTAAGAACAAATTTCCTATAAATAGTTACTTTTTATAACCACGGAGGGTGTATTAAGATTGCTATTCGAAGTAATCGTTTTAGATTCGTCAAAGTATTAGCGTCAAATTCTAATCCGATTTAGCCACGTATGTCTGCCCGTCTGTTGAAATCACGCAATCTTCCAAAGGAATTGAGATACAGTGCTGAAATCTGGATCAAGTTCGATGATGAGCTATACCGGCCAACGTTTTCGTATAGTCCTCCAAACAACTGGACACCCTTTTTATATTAAGCATTTCGACGATTTTCGGCAAATTTTTGAACGGATTTATTTGGAATTTGGTATTTGAAGGTTTTTAAGGGTTCCTTTACCACCATGCAAAAATTAGTCCACATTGTGGTATATCACCTATATATAACGGTACCACCCTATATTCGGTATTTTGATGTCTTCCCCAATTTTTTAACGGAATTGTTAGAAATTTTGTATTTTAAGGATTATAAGGATGTCTAAAAAGGCTTCAAAAAAAAAAAAAAAAAATGCTGATATTATTTTGACTTATGATAGAGTTCTACTCCTACTAGCGGAGTCTTCTTTGGAAGCAAAAGGTTCTATAAAAAATGCATTAAATAAATTCAGAAATCATCTGTCTTTAGAAGATTCAGAATTTATTTACTTATTTCTCTTATGAAATTATTGCCTACCCCAATTGAGACAAAGATTTGCTCATTTTCACTCCGGAGCAAAGCTTGCTCACGAGCAGAATTGCTCGAAGAGTGGAAGTTTTTTGGAGTCTACTCTTCACTCCTCTTGGAGAGCTTGGAGAGAGAGAGAAAAATATACTCACTCATATTCGAGCGACATATAAAAATTGAGTTTGCTTTTTGCTCGTATACGAGTGAGTTTCTCTCTTTGTACAAATTCGAGCGAGTTTTTCTGTAGCACCCCAAAATACTGGACGAGGATTTATTCACTATATCCGTGCCAATTAAATTCAATAAAACTGTTTTTCTTTCAATTGGAATTTAGAATTTTCTAATTATTAACAAGGTGTCTGCCAAGGTTATTAGATAAAACCTTAGTAAAAGATACCTAAAATTAGGAAAAGTTGTCTATACCTATTTGGAGTAGGACATTTTATTTAGAGGACTTCTACAAGAAAAAAGTATCTTCTAGATATTTCTGGTACCTCGATGCCAATTATTGGCTGCTCATCCAGAGGTCTCCTATTCGCAAAAACGATTTGAGAAACTTCCAGAAATTCGGTCACAGGTTACAACCTCAGGCGAAGTTCTTCAATATATCAAAAAACAGGATTTGTTTTTCCAAAGTCTTCGATTTTTTTTTTAGAAAATTTTCTAAATTTCAAAATTCTATGACAAGATCTTTAGGCTACGAGGTGAAAGGAGGCACTCTTCAATTTTCCTATAGTTCAGAATTATTAAAGCAAAGATCATATTGAAGGACCTTTTCGAGTTTGGACTCACTGATTACTCCTTGGTTTCCTAAATTTTCTTTCTCATACTTCAACTCCTTCCTCCTTCTCCTACAAGAATACTTGATTGTGGTAATTATTGAAACAATGTCTTCTTTACAATTGAATTATCATCCAAGTAACCTTTGAACAATAATCAAACCAAGCTACACACACACACTCTCTAAGCAAACATTGGTCCCCCTGCAAAATAAATTTGTTTGCCCGCCAGTCAATATTTGCCCAATAGTTAGCCACCGTCAAAGAAGAAAAGTGTTAACAGTGGCGGCTTAGCACACCGCTCGCTGAGGTAAATATTTACCGCTTAAGTGGACACACAGCAAAAGTGTCAATTACTCTACACAAAATCATTTCAAGTGGCCGCACTGCACTCTCTCTCCTGGTCAGGCCATTACAATGGAGTGCAAATGCATGCAATCGCAATAAAACGCTGAGCTATGGTTTTGAGTTTTTTCTGTTCTCTTATTTTTTTTTTTTTTTGATGGCTGATGACATGATTTGCTTTGGGAAAAAAGGACACTTGAAGAGCCATGGCATGTGTTGTCATTTGTTGGTGGTGTTGGTTAATGGATAATTTTGATTTTACAACAACACGCAAATGACAAATCACAAAAATCATCACCAAATGAAGGCAAGTGACGGACAGCCAGGCAGCACATGTCGAGCAACAACTTGAAAAGCATTTACAGAGGATTCCAAAGTTGTGGGTCACCATGTCCCTTTCGGTGGCCATGTGGCCATCCCGTGCGACCTTTTGACAATTAGGTTTTTTGTGTTGTTGTTGTGTTGAAGAGTGGGCCACTGATGAAACCTTTTGATTTGTTGCATATTAAATGAAAATATTCATACACATTTGTCAGTGGCCGAAGGGGAGGTGCCCACCAACTGAATCAACAGAGGATGCAGAGGGAAGGCAGCAAAAAAAAAAGGATTTTATCTGATAATTTTCTAAATAAATGGGGAGTTGACTAGTAAAACAACAACAACAACGAAATGTGAAGTGTTTGTGATTTTGCCTTTTTTTAGTTTTTCTTTTTTTGTTGTTGTATTTTGGTAAATGTTTTCATGTCAAAAAGATTTCAATCGCTCCATTATTGAACTTCCAACTAAAAGAAGTGTGAGTGAGTGTGTGTGTGTGTGTTTTGTTTACATTGTAATTTATTTAAATGAAATGTGAATTCTGACACATGTTGAGCGCTTTTGATGTATTAAACAAATGACACTTGTCTTTGAGTTGTGATAGAAAGTAAGGCCAATTAATTTATTTCTATTTTTTCTCATTCCGCTTTCTCTCTCTTTACAGACTCGATGACCATTTAGTGGGTGCTCATCATTTTCGCAAAGACGAATTTCTGTGTGAATTGTGTTCAAAACGTTTCTGCCATCGTCCTGTGCTGCTGAAACATCGGGCATTGGTCCACAACGAAATCAGGAAATATCCTTGTGAAAATTGTACCAAGGTAAGTGGGGCTTCATTGTTTTTTTGATAATTTCGTCTGTTTTTTTTTTCTTGTGAAAAATAAGCTTGTTTTTTTTTTGGATGATGGATTATGGTCTTAATAATGTTTATTTTTATCTGGTGACCATGTCGCATTTTTTTCTAATTTCGATTTTTTTTCCTTCATCTCAATGAGCTTCAATTGTCCATTGTTTTGAAAAGAGAAGAAAACAATAAAAAAAATGAAAAAAAGTAAATGTCTTGTCATGCAGACACACTCATGCATGTTTTCGGTTGACAACGAAGACAACAAAAAAGAAGTGTGAAGATTGATCAACTTGAAGAAATCTTTTTGTTTGTGATTAACAGAAATCTATTTTATCAACTATCTGAAGACAAAAAAACCAGCAACAACGAGAAAAATGCTTAAGCAATGTGACGCGATCAACAAAACTTTTGATTTCTAACATATCAATATTGCCGTCGGCCATTTGTGCTTTGATACCCTCCTTTTCTGTCCAGCCTCAGAGCTTCTACTGTTTTTGTTGGGAGAAACAAAAAAAAATAAAATCTCCTTTGTCTTCTTTCAAAGTCATTTGGATGGACGGTGGGTTGAAATCGAAAATGATAAGATCATGCCACAGAGTTGCTCATTTGATCGTAGTCTATCGAGAGCGAAATTTACTCGCGAGCAGGACTGCTCGAAGAGTGCGAGTTTTTTAAGGTGTCGACTCTTCACCTCCTTTGTTTCGTGTGACAGCGTTCCCGAGTCACTCCAGGTTGAAAAATTAGAGTTGGGTCGAATAGCTCGAAATAGAGTAAGATTTTGCTCAAAGAGTGGAAATGAGTGGAAAAATTATTCAGTGTGCCTGTGTGCAACAGGAAACCGGTGTTGATGTTGCTGTGTACTGTAAACGAGGGGCGGAAGAAGGACAGACAAGGTGTGAAAAATGCCCATAGATAGAAATACAGCAAGGGTATGGCAATAATTAAAAGAGTGCTCGACAAGAGTAAAATTTACTCGATTTTTCGATTCCAACGCGTTTCGATTCCACTCGAAAACGAGGAAAACATGTTCACTCATATTCGAGCGACATCGAAGATTTTTTTCTGCTCCTAGGAGCACTCCCTCTCGAAGCGAGTTTCGCTCTCTATTCGAGCGAATTTTCCGGAGGTCTGAGTGATATACTACTTTTCTTAAAAAAATATTTTACATAAAAAATAATTATTCTATAAAACCTTAGCTCTAATAGTCTGTCAAAGAATATTCTTTAAAAAATAAATTTCTAAAATTAAAAAAAATCCAAATTAAAAAAATGCATAGCCATTGAAAATTGTTTCCCCTAAATATTCAGGGTTGAGTCTCTGATAGATACTGATTTCATTATTTCCTTGTAACCTTGAATCCATATTTCTTTATCATGTCTTTTAAAACTGCGATCAAAACCCTGGGAACAAGCATACTTATTCCTTATCGAAGGACCATTGCTACGAAAAGTCACATTTTCTTAATTTTTTTATTGATATATTCATCGTTGAAATATTACGATTTAATTTTCGTGCTCTACCCCCCGTACCCCCCCCCCCCCTCTCACCCTCACTCTGAGATTAATTACTGATAACTGTTCCATCTTCTCCTAAAACAAACTTCATTATACCCCCCCTTCTTTAACACTCTTAACCACAGTGCAATCAAGCCGCCCTCATCCATATCAACAAAATTTGAAAGAAATAGAAAAAAAAAATCGAAATCAGTTAATATGTTATATCCAGCGTCCATCCATCCATCTATCCAGATACCCTTCCCTTCACAACGACGAAAAAACAGAAATAATAACAATTGGAATGCATTAAACAATTAAACATTATTTGGAATTAAAATACTTGGCTGGTTACACTTGAATGTCTCGTTTCGTTATTCATGGTAAATTTGGATGTAGCAACAATGAGTGGCTAGCTGGATGGCTGGCTGGCGATTAGGGCGTGGACCATTTGTGGTGGCCAACAACGGACAATGGTTAACACTGACATTGGAGGGATTTGTTGAGGGGGGAGATAAAAGAGTTTTCATAGCCTTAATTTATGACATTATTTTCTTGCACCTCATCAACCACCAGACCTCAGTTGTTGCTTCATCTGCTGGGGTCGGCTGCGGTCGTCCATCAATAGCTTCTTTATCGAGCTCTCTGCGCTCACTCCATGTCCAATCATCATTATCATAAATGTAAGAAAAAGGTAAGCAGCATTTGCTGCTGTTAGTAATGTTTTTCTTATTTTGTGGCAAGAACCACAATAGCAACAACAACAACAGAGGCTTAATGGATTTTGAACATCAAAAGATTACTAAGCTTAAAATGCTGCTGGATGTTCTCCAGCAGTAAAATACCCAACGATGCTGGTGTTCAATTGTGGTTTTCTAATTTCATTTGATGATCAACCTGACCAAAGTCAGTTCGATTTGCTGTTGTTGTTATCTCCAAGTCATAAATCCAAAAAGGAAGAAAACAACAACAAAAACGTTGAAGAAGAAGCAGAAGACAAAGTGTTATCTCGGCCACTGTGTCTTGTCGGGACCGTTACAATTACGCTGTCATTGCATTCCGAATCGAGTTCATCAATTTAAAGAAAATATGGTCGGTAATGAATGTAATTGTTGGGCTCTTTTTTTGAAGACTAGTTTCGTTTTTTTTTCGTCTCCTTCTTCTCTTCTGCTTCTCAACTGGTGTTAGGATGTTTCTGGTCCTCGAAGTGTATCATTTGTGGTCATTATGATTATGCACTTACAACAATTGCTGGCATTCCAACGCAAACCTTAGTGGAATCTGGAGCAATTGATGTTGGCTCTCAATAGAGGTCGTTAGTAGTCAATAATCTAACGAAGAATGATCAGGTGAAAGAAAGGCATTCTTCAGAAGTTGTATGATGGAATTATGGAGCTATTGCATTGAATATAAGATATCTCATAGGGATATTATTTGAAACAATTTTAGAAATTAACTTTTGATTGCATTTTTATCTGAAGTTTCAAGGAATTTTGTTATCTAGGTAATAGTAAAAGATAGGCTAATTAGTCAGGATTTGTCAGATATGTTCAAAACAAAGCTTGGAGCATACAAAATAGTGGTTACTTTCCAAACAATTTTTTCGGAATTAATATGGGTGTAGAAAACTTCAGTCTGGGAATGAAAGTCCTTGGCGAATATATACAGATGCCAATAGGAAAGATTCGATGGTTTTATATGCTGGCGCCCCTGTAATATAATAGCCTTGTATGTTTATCTATTTTAAACGAATATTTTTTTGTCTAGACATGATACGTCTTTTGTCTAATCAAAGGACGAAAAAAATATCCTTCTAATTTCAATGTCCTACCAAATAAGATCAGCATCTAAATGTTGTTCAGAAGATTCTAGGTATAGTTCTCTCGGACAAGATTATCTTGATGATTATTGCTCAATGCCTAGCCTTCCCTAGGGATATATTTATTTCAGCATACTTAAATTGAGCTCTTTACTCTCTTATCCTGGGGGTATCCCAAAAATGTACCGAACTTTGTCCGGAATTTTTTCAGTCCAAAAACTCAAATTCAAAAATCGTGTTGTATAAACCGTAAAATGAATAAAGCAAGCGCATTTTATTCTAGAGTGTGAACCGGTTACGTTTGATGACATAAATCCTACACCTGATTTTCGGTTCTATTAGCTTTATAATCGTACACCGCCTTTTCAGACCAGTTACTACCAGCAAAATTTCCATTCCTTCGGATGAACACATTATATGCTGACATTACTCATTACTTGGTAATAAGAAAAGTATGTCATTTTAGCCTGTATATTTAAGAAATAACCCATTATTTTCCACCTACTGGCAACGCAGAAGGATATTCGTTCACACTAACTTTCAGTGGGTTGATCGGTTCATAAGGGTCCAAGCTTTTGCTGTTTTTTTAATTCTCCATTTTAAGATACCCTCAGAAACCGCCTTTTGAAAAATACCTTTTACCATTGATCCAATTATTTGACCTCTTTGACATTTTCAATGGTGAACCTCGTACCCCACTCGAATTAGAAAGAAACCAAAGTTTATTCCCCCCCCCCTTTTTTTAGAAACATGAAAAAGGAAAAGCTTTGTAAGGATGTAACAGATTAAGATTACCAGCCATACAATCTCCAATGCTGTGACCATAGATCAAAACAAACACACACACACATAACCACAATGACAACTGCTGAACAAACAAGCAGCACACGATAAATGAGAAGAAAAAATGTCGCCAACTTCAGCTACCGCCTTTTAAGTCACTGAAACTGGCCAGAGCGAAAGAGTGCGAAGAGGGTGGGGGTAGACTTTCAAAGTCATCAACATTACCACTCCCCAAATGGCCATAAATATATCGTTCAATACATTCTCTTTGTAGGTTGGTGGTGGTTAACCTGGTCTCTTCTTTAGCGGTCTCCGGTGTTGCTGTTGTTGCTACAAAATTACCTTCAAAAAATCATGATCGTCATTATTGTTATTATCGGCTAGCTGCGGTCTTAGCCTCATGATCATCGCGCTTTACGACAACATTAAGCTGACACTCAAAAAGCTTCAAAATTTCAGATTTTCGTTTCAGATTTTTTGGGGGTAGAAGGGTGTGGTGGGGGGCAAACTGAAATTCAAGTTAAATAAAAATTGTGATAACCATCCACCCCCACCTACTCTTCTTTCGTTTTCTTTGCTTCATCATCACATCTTTGAATCCGTTTGTTTTCTTGTTGCTGTTGCTGTTGTTGCTGCTCAGTAGTAGTCGAATCTAATCCATTTAATGTGGTAATAGTGAGCAGCACGAGCTACACAACAATCATTCTTCAATTTTTTTTGTCTAGGAGTTTTTTCTTCTTGCATTGTTTGGCAAAAAAGACGAGGAATTGGAAATGGATGAAATGAACCTTAAGAGGGTGGTGTATACATTCTTCTGAGATTCTCTTTATTTCCCGTTTCAGGATGTATGGAGAGAAATACTTATTTGATCAACGTTTCCTGAAAATATTTACCAATTCCCAAAGTTGTCTTAAATTTTTATTCTGCCAAAATTTTGGACTTCCAACTTTAAGCTTAAAACTGTATTTAGACCAGGACCAGATAGAGAGCCACACTTTTATGTTATCCCGTTGTTACTCTCTCATTACATTGTTTGGTAATCTCTCTTTGAAGGCCCGCTTGCCTGCTTCTGGCTGAACCTGATTTAGGATTTCACTTTTCTTCTCGACTTTTTAACCATCCCCCTTCTGTTAAGGTTTTAATACCGAGAATTACGGCCCGTAGGCCCGCTTTGGGCTGGGCCTGTTTTATAGTGTTATTTTTCGATTTCACTTCTCTTCCCAAATTTTCACACCACCTCCTCTTCTTCTAAGGCCCCAATACCCTCGAAAATGATTTTTTGACAGCATGATTAGGCAGGCCAAATAACAAGACGCTAAATCAACAATTTATATATCGAAAACATTTTCGGAATGTGTCGGTGTGCGTGCAAAGCATTGGCGGCGGGTGGCAGACAAATGGCCCAAAAGGTTTCTACAGAAATTTGTCAGTGTGTGTGTGTGTGAGTACCTCGATTGAATAACGGTAGATGGCTTGACAACGCTCACACTCACTCACCTCGATGACGACGATCGCCGACGACAATTGTATCAATTGATGGCCAGCAATTGTTCGATCACTTGGTGTTATCAATAATGGTTGGACGGATGGATGGATGGATGGACAGGCATTTAAATGGTGGAGGGAGTGTTGGATTGTAATCCCCCTCCCTTCTCTACCACCAGCGATCTCATTTGCGTAATCAACTAGTTTGAGTGAGCGAGTGCGGGATTTACGTTGTTTGTTTGTAAGCCCCGCTTTGGCAGATCCGTTTAGAGACGTTTCAAAAAATCTCTGTTTTTTTTTCGTCGTTGTTTTCTCCAAGAAATTCGATTAACCGAACAATTGATTGGAGGAGTAAGTGAATGAGTACAGAGAACGCAACTGGATTTGGGTAAACGCCACAGCAGTGGTAGGTAGCCGCCGTCATTTCTTGTAGGGCTATTCATTCATTTACCAAACAATATATTGTCTGTCCCGTTCGGCTGGCTGGCTGGTGGTGCTGGCATGATTGATTGATTATATTTTCGTTTTCGTTTGGTAGCTTTTTAAGACCACAAAAGAGCATCTAAAGACCACCACCACCACTACCAGCGAATAACGCCTGATTTGTCCTCTAAATACAAAAAAGAAGGTATTTTACATACCATAGGCAGGCACGCACACACACACATTCTCATTGTAGCCACTTTACATTTGGCCAGAGATGGTTTTAAAGGTTGGCCTGCTGGGTTTTGTTGCTGTCACACACGGTAGCCACCACCGTTAGGCCTGTTTCTTTGTTGTTGCTTCTTTGGAAGAAAACAAAATGAGATTGATTTTTGGTTTTAGCTTTCAAAGCGTTAACACTTTTTCGATTCATCCATCGCGCACACACACATACATACACACACTTATTAGACATTATCTAATTCTCTTCAATAATTTTTTTCTGTTTCATTTTTTTAGGTATTTTGTGATCCATCGAATCTACAGCGTCATATTCGTACCCACCACATTGGTGCCAGAAGTCACGCCTGTCCCGAGTGCGGCAAAACATTTGCCACTTCATCTGGCCTCAAGCAACACACGCACATTCACTCCTCCATCAAGCCGTTCCAGTGCGAGGTGTGCTTCAAAGCGTACACGCAGTTCTCGAATTTGTGTCGGCACAAGCGGATGCACGCCGACTGTCGCATGCAGATCAAGTGCAACAAGTGCGGCCAGAGCTTCAGCACCGTTACCTCATTGTCGAAACACAAGCGTTTTTGTGATTCCACCAACGTACCGCCGGCAGGAGTCGGATTGCCACCCAGTCTACCTCATCCAGCAACGTTGCATCATCAGGCCCAGGCCCAGTCCTCGTCGGCAGCCCAAGCTCGATCTAGCGGCGGCGGTGTCAACGGCGTTTCGCAGTTTGCCAACAACATGGCCACTCCACCCAACCCCTTTTCGCTGTTCATGCGTTCACCCTATTTCCCACCATTTCCGGCAATGGCCTATGGCTTGCAGAGCATATTCCCTCAGGCTCCAGCGGTGCCCACGCCTAACTTCCCTCTGATGTTCAGCAAACCTAATGTGGATCTAAGACTACAACAGCAGCAGCAGCAACATCAACAACAGCAGCTGCGTTCTCCAGTATCACATCAGCAAAAGAGCGGTGGACATTTGAAACACAACTCCATGTCGCCCAATTTACCCAAGGAGCAAATGGCGGCAGTTCATGAGGCCTTTGGTTTATCCATGGAAAAGCAGGCAATGGAGAGAGACGACAACAAGCCATCACGTAATTCCTCTGTAGAGCGCTCACCATCATCATCGTCGCGGGGCGTTAGCCACACACAGACTCTTAAAAAGGAGTCTCAGCATTATACCTCCGATGAGGAATCCAATTCCGTGGTGGAACTGAAAACTGAACCCAAGGATGAAGAAGACGAGGAAAAAGAAATTGGAAATACCAAACATCGTAGTGATGATGAAGAAGAGGAGAATGTTTCTCGACACAATGATGAAGATAAGGTGAGTATTCGAAAAAGAATAAGTCTTCGAAAACAAGATTTTTAGGGAAACTCCCTGTGTGCTCCCAATTGTTGCTAATGACCAGTTTTTTAATTATTTTATTTTATTTTCGCCTTTACAGAAATCAATTGACATTGTTTCGGTCTCGCCACGTCATGAACAGGAACCCCACACCAAATCAACAGCTGCCGCCGAACTACCTCTGGATCTAAGCTTATCGCGCAAGCGCATTTCATCAAGCGATTCCCGTGACAGCCACGAGGAAAACAGCCAGAAATCAATGGTGCTGCAGCAACACAGCCCCCGCGTTCGCAGCCCCATAGCCAATGAGGAGCTCAGCAATGCTGAAAGCTATGAACCACCCAAAAAGAAATCCTCCTCCTTGAGAGCTGCCTTTGGCCTGGGCAGCAGAACATCAACTGCCTCACCGGGACCCACACCCTCACCATCGCCACCCATGACAAATGGCAATGGAACCAATGGCATCAACGAAACCGCCCCTAATGCCAATATGCCACCCACATGTCCACGACCCATACACCCGATGCTGCTGGACGAACTCTATCGCACACACGCATTGGAATCAGCCTTTCAACGTCCGTTCCCTTTTTTAGGACTAATGGGCGAGCGGCCGGCCTTTGATGCCAATGCGTTGCGCGCTAGAGGAGAGTCGTTTCCGCCCGAACCAATCTTTCGCGAGGCCCTAAGAGGTCTGTCGTCGGGTGTAATGGCTGCCGCCGCCCATCAATCTGGAAAACTTAAGGATCGTTATACTTGCAAGTTCTGTGGCAAAGTATTTCCCCGCTCGGCAAATTTGACACGCCACCTGAGGACCCACACGGGGGAGCAACCCTACACATGTAAATACTGCGATCGGGCCTTTAGTATTTCGTCGAATTTGCAGAGGCATGTGCGCAACATCCACAACAAGGAGAGACCTTTCCGTTGTCATCTCTGCGATCGTTGCTTTGGCCAGCAGACGAATTTGGATCGCCATCTGAAGAAACACGAGGCTGAATCGACGGGATTGGCCATCAGTGATTCGCCGTCGTCAAATGAGGCTGATCGTGACGACTCGTATTTCGATGAAATACGTAGTTTTATGGATCGTGTTACATACAACGAAGAGATGTACACCCCGACGAGTATGGGTAATGGAGAAAATGACACCGACTACAATGGCAGTGATGGCGAAAATGAGCTGTCCGTGTCAAGACCCTCATCGGTCGATGAGTTAAATGGGGAGAATAGTAAAGCAACGGGACAGAATGAAACGGTGACAGTCACCGAAGATGAGCAGTAATTTTGGAAGAGAGAGAATGAGGAATTTAATTTTGTTATGGAATGGCCCATATGCTGACCACGGGGTGTTTCTATTTAGCCTGTAAATATGTACTAATCATAGCTTTAGGTAATTTTCAATTACAACTAAGAAAAAAAAACAACAACATTTAAATTTAATTTTTTTAACATTTAAGCGTTATCTTTTTAATTCCTATAAGAAAAAAACAACAACAACAAAACAAGTAGCAATAAGAAAAAAAATTAAACAACAAAAAAACATTGAATTGAATATCAATGGCAACAACACCCAAAACTGATAATAAATGAAATGGAAATTGAATTGTTTAATTAAAAGAGAAAAAAAAAAAAAAACAAACTAAATTAAGAGCACTGCTATTAAAATATTTCAAAACACACACACACACATACTTATTTTTTTTAATTTTTTGGTGTATCCAAACATCCTTGGAATTTGAATAATGTGTGATGATGATGACGATGACTTGGAAGTGATTTCGTTTGTTTCGTTTTTTTGAAATTTGTTTTGTCATTCGCATTTAATTTCGAAAACTATGAAATGACAAAAAACCAACCCCAACAACAAAAACAACCACAACGAGATATTTATAATGTTATTTTGTTCTTAAGCTTAAGCAAAACAAAACTATAATATTTTGTACATAAAACAACAACAACACCCACAACCAAAACTATACATAGTAGTAAAAATATCAAGAAAAAAAATAATTATTACACAACTTGTTTATTTATTTAGCAATAAGTTATTTTTTGGCGATAGTATTTTTTAAATAAATAATTTTTGAAATATACATATTTTTTTAATATAAAATAATTTCTAGTGAAATAATTTGTTTTCCTTTTTTCTTTAGTTTTAAGCCCACCCACACACACATACAGACACCATTTCGTTAGTTTTAATTCAATTAAAAATCTAATGAGGATCGTCAATTTTGTTTGGAAATTGGTTGCAAGCAAATTCCAACAAATTCGTATTTATAAATACCATTAATTATTGTTAGTAATTGAATTATTATCATTCTTATAATTTTGTAATTTTTTCGATTTAGTTTCAAAAATTTAAATAACAGAAAATGATAACGTAATATGAGAACATTATTATTCAAAATAAAAAAAACAAAAGAAACAAACAAATTTAAACAAAAATATACACATAAATTTAATCAAAAAATAAAAATGTGTTTTCATTTTTTTCTTTGTGAAGGAGTTGTAGTTTTATGAAAAAATTTATGAAAAAAATGTTCTTTTAATTTCCTTCTGGTTATGTTCTTAATCTTTATTCCGCTTACAATAGCCTTTATGTAAGATTCCATTGTTTATACCCTCAGCCATATGGCTACGGTCACAACGTGCGTAGTCGAAATAACGGTTTTAGACCCTAGGTCTCTTTGGACCAAATCCGTCTCAGGACTTTTGGAGTCGATCTAGCGATGTCCGTCCGTCTGTCAGTCTGGCTGGTGCGCACGATACATCTCGAAGGGAGTATCGCATACTCCCTTGGTCCAAACTTGGTACATCATAATATTTTTGTCAAACTTAGATCGAGGTCGGAGGTGGGCAATATCGGTTCACTTCTTCTGGTACCTCCCCCACAAAAGATCGATATTTTCAAAAAAATATATATTTTCTGCACAGAAAGAGAAACGATAATCCGATTCTGCCCCAACTTTGCAAATCCTAATATTTGCGTTAGTGCTAGGTAAGGAGCGAAAATGGACAGTATCGGTCCACTCCACCACCCCCACAAAGGGTCAAAATTTGGAATAATTACAACTCTTATAAGATATGATGTAAGAATCCGATTGTCTTAAAATTGTACACATCAAAATAATTTTATTAACCCAAGGTCTCGTGTTAAGACAGAATGCATCGGTCCACTCCTTTTGAAAATTTCGACCTTTTGTTGGGTAGGTAACAAAAGGTAGAAATTTATATAAAAAAATATATATATATATTCTGCACAGAAAGAGAAGCAATACTCCGAGTTTGCTCCAATTTTGCAAGTGCTAATATTTGCCTCAGTTCTTGGTCAGGTGCAAAAATAATAATATAATATCGATCCACCATGTTCTTCCCCCACAAAGGGTCTAAATTTTGAATAATTATAACTCTTATAAAATGTGATGTAAGAAGCCGCTTGTTTTAAAATTTCAACCATCTCAATATTTTTATAAACTCAAGATCTGGTGTTAAGATGGAATATATCGGTCCAGTCCTTCTGGTACTTCCCAAACAAAAGGTCGACATTTTGAATATCCATGAAACTCATAAAACGCAAAATAAGCATCAGGTTCTCTTTATACTTCACACATCCCATTATTTCTTCTAACACAAGATCTGTTGTGAAGATGTGATATATCGTTCCACTCCTACTCCACTGTACCTCCCCCACAAAGGTTCAAAATTTTGAATATCCATGAAGCTCATAACAAGTGAAATTAACATCCGATTCCATTCCAGACTTGGAACATCTCAATATTTCCATCAACACAAGATCTGTTATAAAGATGGTAGCGATCAGACCTTTTCTTTTGCTACCTGCCCCTCATAGGGTTCATGATTTTTAAAAACAAAAGGCTTAAAGAGAGCGGCATAAGAATCCAACTCCCTTCAAATGTTACACATAAAAATATTTTTGCTAACACAAGATATGTTGGGAAGATGATACATATCTGCGTACCCCTTCTGATATCTCACCCACAAAAGGTCACAATTTTCAATACTCGTTTCTATCATAACTTGCGAAACAATTCAGCGATCCGTTGCAACTTGCTATATCTAAATATTTCTCTCAACCAGAAACCTGAGATGAATATTGAATGTATGATTTCGCGTAAAATTGGATATACATTTTCGGTTTTCTTGTAATTAATCGAGCATTGGCTGTGGGTATATATCTGTCAGCAAAACCGACTGATACTTTTTTATTTGCTTTAAGTGGCGTTAAGTACGCGATCTTTATTGAGCCGTCATTGGTCTAAACGACAGAGCTTTATAAGTTACTAGGGGGTAATTACTGTTCCATATTAACAAATAATTCTGAAATGGGACTGAAATCTCCAATATAACTTAATTAATGTGGTACCATTATGCACCAAAATTCCTATTTGAGAGAGGTTTCAAAAAAAGCCAGCGATTCTGAGAAAACTTCGTATGTCTATATATTTTTGTCAACCAAACATCTGATGTGAATATATACTTTATCGGCTTATTCCTTCTCGTAATTCCCTCGCAAAAGTTGAAAATTATGATTAACAATTATTCACAAAAAAAATGGTTATAGTTTGCTGATTTTCTTCCACTTGAAACTGGAGATAAAGCATCAGAATCAGAGGTACCTCTCAAAAATTTAGATTTTATATGCATATATTGATCACTTACAGATACAGTTTCCAAATTTGGAATGCGTAACGGAATTTAGAACAAAAATTAACTTGCCAAATTATATTGAAACCAGTTCAGATTTCGATATAGCTCCCATATATATTTTCGGTCAATTCCATATATTTGATGCATTAAACACGCTGTGTACGCCGCATGTCAATGAAATTTGGAATGTATGATGAATTTGTCTAAAAAGTTTGTTTTCCAGAAAACTACACAGCTGTTTAATTGAGGATACAATTATTACGGGGAAATATGTTGCTACATCGAATTCTCTAATTGCAACTGAAATGCCACTCAACTTCAAAAAATTGCAGTTTCCCGTACGCTTGGCATTTGCTATGAAATTAGTAAATCCTTCGTGTATGCGGACTAAATTTGGCAAGTTCCTGTTTTTCTCATGGTAAAAATCAAAAGGGGTAGCAACGCGCACCGGGTTCTGCTAGTAGCATTAACGAGGATCAGATGATCTTTCCTTGCTGGTTCCTTCATGGTTCTTTTTGTCAAACAACTTTATATAATCTGATGGGAAGCCATTTTATTTAATTTGTATAGAAGACCAAAGTCATACTGTATCAAATGCTTTAGCAATATCGAGGAACACAATTTCAATACTTTCTCTGTTTTTTTAAACCCCCCACCATAGTATGGAGGTTATATTAAGTATGTCTTTCCGTTTGTAACACCTCGAAATATACATTTTAGACCACACGAAGAATATATGGTATATCCCCCATATAATGCTTCCTTATATTCCTGATTTGGGCTACCTTATTAAGCGATTTTTTCAAGTTTCGCATTTGAATATTGTAATGGCTTAGGGCTAAAGTTGCCGATGCAGATCCACGTCGTCGTGATGGCTACATTTGGTATTTTTTGATTTTAACAGATTTTATTTTTTTTTAAATTGCCAAATTCGTTCCAAATGATGGAGGGTATTCAAAGTCGGCTCGGCCGAACTTACAGCTTCTTTCTTTTATATAATTAGTAATTCGCTTTACTTGGTGTACTGTTGAATGTTCTTTTCGGAACACCCACTGCTCTTTTAATAATAAACCATTAGTTTCTGTGAATCCTTCAACTCTGTTGAGTAAATTTTTTTCAATAACTTTATCTATACATGTAAACGTACTAATTGGCCGATAGCTTTTAGGGAACTAACTTTCCTCCTAATTTCTAATTTATGCTGACTTCGAATATTATTTGAAATGCTAGAGTTAAAATTATTTTTGTTTCGTTGGTTTTTAACTAATCTAACTCATGTTATATATCAGGAATTTTGAACCCATTTATCCGGTTTATATTTAATTGAACTGTAAAACGATTTTTAATAGTCTTGATTTTTCATATTTCTTAATTTAATGTTTCCATATTCAATAATCAGGAAACATTACAGTCCTCTATTCTGTGTAAAATATACCCTGAATAATTATAACTTTTTTTAATTTTCAGCAACCTTTAATTACGGATCACTGACAGATAATAATGCTATTATTACCATTCTGCTGCATTTCTACTGCTCTTAATAAAATTATTTAATACTAATCTGATTACACCGACACACACATAACCACACTCAATCCCAACATATATGAAAACTGAAAGTAATGGATTACAACTAAAAATTGCAAAATCCAAATGACGAAGAAATAGAAAAAATCCAAACCATTGACCGCATTGTCCAGCCTGACTCTACAAAGTATCAACATCAACGGAGATTTACATAGCGAAATCTTTCGACATATTTGACATAAATTCCTTTTCGTTCAGCTACGCCAATTGCTACGATTCCGATACGATGTTGAATCAGAACACATAATGCCTCGGCCGCCGGTGCTGCCGCTTCACTAACACGTTTCTTATTTAGAATAGCACAGAAGTTTTTACTTTCATTAACTGCGCATGCACGACACAAATCTCTGTGACAACGCCATAAATCTTTCCAAGTTGAGGCAGCGCACAGCACCACCACTAGCCAAGCAACCGGTGGCTTACTCAGAGATAGATACGGTACTGGGGCACATAAACAACCGGCTATAGTCATCCAATTGGAGACACTACCTCCACCATCGTTTGGTTACACTGGCATCCGGACTTCCATTAACTGTGTGGACGACAGTCAGGCTGGTCGGCCGGCTGACTGGCAGGCACATGCATGAATGCGATTCTATTAATTTAAGGCAGCCACCTTCATTCGTTAGAAGTTTCATTTTCATGGTTTCAATTTTCGAGGATTTTGTCAGATTTTTAGATTTGATAGGCCCCCCCTCGACTCTTTTGGCCGCGTCTGGTGTGTAACGGACATTGCCTGCCATAAGTCGCAAAAATGAAATTGCAATTGACAAATTTTGCACGCATGAAATTGAAAGGTTTCGTTTTTTTTTTTTTTTTTGTTGGCTAGTTCG